GGGGTCTGCACCCCTTCCCCGCGAGCCAAGCCAGGACTGCGGCGGAGCGGCAACTGGGGTAGGGGGTAATCTTGGTTTCCAACTGGGAGCTGGGCTGAGTGAGGTTTATCTGTTTCAGGACTGAAGGTGCTGTCCGGCACTACCTACGCAGCAGACTGCTAACCACAAGGTGGGCGACTTGAACCACCTGCGGCTGTGCTGCAGGAGAAGGTGAGGATGTCTGCGCCCCTTATGAATGTGTAGCCTGGGAACCCCTGGGTAAGGTCTCATGATTTGCAACCGACTCCAGGCAGTCAGCGGGCTTGGTTGGGGGTTTGAACTCGAGGAATGTCACAAATAAGCTGAACTGATAGATGGCTAGTCAGTCACAGGGGGCCAGTGACCTGGTCACAGCCTTAAACTCTTGCGTGGGGGTGGGGGCGGGGGCACGGGGATATCTTCTGCTGGTGGGGGGAGGGCGCTGGACCCCATCAAGCAGCAGGCGGCACCACACTACTTGGGGCCCCTTCACTTCCACCCAAAATAAAAGGGGATCCCCCCCTGTAGTCCTCAACTTCTCCAGAATACACCTGGGGTGGGGTGGGGGTTCAGAAAGCCCAGCACCTACCCCGTCCCCCCAGAGCGCTGGTCTGGAGCCTCATCAGAGATGAGAACCAGCACTCCCACTCCTGTGCACCCAGAAGGGGGGGCATGGGCAGAGGGTGCTCCTGGGAGCTGGAGTAAACCAGATCCTCTGTCACGATCAGCCCAGTCTGGCCTGCCCCCAAATCCCAGGTGACACTCAAAAGCATAGGACACCCCAAGATCTAAAAGCACCCATCCCATTATCCCCTCCCCTCACAGCTTCCCAGGAGACACAAGAGCCTGGACACAGGGGCCCAACACCCAGCTCCAGTCCTGACAGGACCAACCACCACATGACCTGGAAGCAGGGATCCCACCCCCAACTCCTGTGAGGATGTGGTGTGCAGCCCTAATGGGACCACCACACAAGATATCCCCCACCTCTATACCCACATAATCCCATCCTGGTCCTCCACCCTCTGCAACAGAAAGGATGGGCAGCGCCCCCAGGACCCCTCCCAGGTGAGGGGACAGAGCCTTGCTGAGGGTCAGTCAAAGCAGTCCAGAGAAAGGGATGGGGAGGGGGCGGCTGGGATGCACCACAAGGTCATGGGGACAATGAGGCTGGGTCCACAGGGAATCCTCTAAGGTAGGGTCTCCAGCCAGACCAGGCCCCGAAGCAGGTTGGGACCATTCTCCCCATTGCAGGAAAGCGTCCGAAAGGGCGACAGAAACCCCAGCTCTGAGCACAGACTTCTGGGCAGGACCGCACCCTACCCAGGGGCTCTCCCTGCAGATGGCAAGGTCGAATCCAGGCCACACACACACAAAAAGAGAAAAAGGTCCTCAGTCTGTTACAGCCACCTCACCCAGCCCTCCACAGCTCCTGACGGTGGTGTCTAGCAAGGGTAAAGCCCTCTGGGAGGCTCCTGTGTGCAGGCAGGCTCCTGAGGCCCAGCCCATAGGGGTGGCCACAGTGGGAGTCCAAGGGTCCTCCAGAGACAGGAAGCTGGGTGGGGATGGGTGCAGGGAGGGAGCCTGCCGGGTCCCCCAAGAAAGAGCCTCTATACCAGGGTCTGAGGTGAGCATCAGCTGCTTTATTACTTGGCATGGCACACAGAGGTGGGGGCGTACACAGGCATGAGGTGGGTGCAGGCAGACACGGATGGTGGTAGGTGACTGAGCACTTGTTTCCAAGGGGGCTACTTCATTGCTCTCTAGCCCCTCTCACAACAGAGAGCCCACCCTACCTCCTACAGACTTGCCCAAAGCCACCTCCTTCAGTAGCCCTCCAGACCCACCCCACATATGGGGACCCGCAACATGTGTCCTATCAGGGTTGGCAGGCTGACTGACGTCCACTCCCAGCTTCTGGGCCACTGAGGAAGACAGGGAGGGCAGAAGGCTATGTATGTGATCACACCCCCCCCATCCTCCCCCGGCCTGGCCCCCACTGCTCTGCCCTTTGGTCTCCGAGACTGTGCTGTGGCGGGGAGGCTGAAGGCAGACTGGGCTTCATGATGGCAGCACCACCAAGGTCAGCCCTCCACTTGAGCCCCTCCAGGGCAGAGTGGAGACACATGCACACTCTTAGGCAGGTGGTCTCCCTGCCTAGGATCCTGGATCACCCAGCCCCATCCTACATCTGGCCACCTGGAAAACTCCTATTGATCCTTCAAAGCCCAGCTCCAAACTGAGAACCACATTCCTTAATTGAGTCCATCCCTGGCAGTATAGTGGGTTCAGTGCTGGGCTAACCTCAGCAGCTGGAAACCACCAGCTACTCCACAGGAGAAACATAAGCCTTTTTACTCCCACCAAGAGTTACAGTCTAGGAAACCCACAAGGGTAGAACCAGTCAGAAAACCCAGCTCAGAAACCGCCTTTAAGGGACATTTACCTGACTCCCAAGTACCCCCTACTTTCTGCTGGACCCAGCCCTCTGCTGCCATTAGCCCCCTCTTACATTGCCCCCAGCACCCCACCAACTATTGGGCAGAAAGCCCCCCAGAGGTCAGGTCCCGCCTCAGAGCACTCCAGCTCTAGGGACCCCCAGCCCTTCCTGTCATCTACCTTCTTTGATGACTCAGGCAGTAGCTGGCCCCCTCTGCATGCCCTCCTCCAGGAACCCTGACATCCAGGCATGGGGGGCCAGGCCCCTGAGGGAACACCATTTCCTACCATGCAGCCCTCACCCCCTTGCTGGTCCCCTTGCACCTTCCCAGTTCTATGCTGAACTCGGCCACTAGCCAGGAAACTAGGGGGCTGGAGAGCAACAGGGTTCCCCTGCAGGTGATTTCTGTTGCCTGCACAGGGCGTGTCTGTGCAGGACGGAGCCAGACAACCCCCCCCTCCACCCCCACCCCCAGTCCTGCTGCCGGTGACAAACCCCAGAGTGGCTGCTTCAGAAAGGCACAGCGGCTCACAGGAACAATAGAACAATGGGAACGCCCACAATGGTGGGGAGACTGAAGCCTGCTCCTCCTCTAGGAGGCAACTCAACCACTCCCAGCGTGGAGGAACCCCCGAGGGCCTCAGCTTCTGGGGACCCAGGGGCTCCTGGAAGGGGCAGGAGAGGAAAGAAACCAGCCCTCTGCTGTGTGGGGGAAACCAGGGCTGCTGCTCCACACGCCCACCGAAACCTCATCAGCACCTCGCTGACCCTTGGGAGCTCACATGGTGGCCTCAGAAGAAACAAGTGAGGGCGCTAAGACTGGTCTCATGCACTTGGACCCACCACCCACCTCGGGGAGAGGGACAGGGACTACACACATTGGGCTCCAGCAGGACTAGTGGCTTCTGTCTGCAGCACACACAGGCTAGTGGGACCAACGGACAGCCAGCCCCTCACCACTCTCACTTCCACGGGCCAAGTAGCTCCCAGCCACTACTCTACAACCTTATGCCAGGCCTTTCTCTGAGTGCCTCAGGGGGACGCAAACCTCAACCCCTCTGGACAACAGCTGAGCACTTAACCCACCCCACTACAGGACCTCCACACAGAGCCAGGGCTGGGGCCAACCCCTTCCAGGCAGCAGGCAGGGATGGGGCTGGCCCTGGGCAGTAGGCTCCCTGGTCTCTGAGCCCACCCAGCAGTGGAAGCAAGTCTGTGGATCCTGGCTCCACCCACCCTACCACCTGGCACCCCAGCCATGGGGCTGCCGTGCAGGGTGCCCTCAGTGGAGGTAAGCCCATCAAGAGAGGGTGGGGTGCTGCCTGGCCTCTTCCCCCGAGCCATGCCTTCTCCTCAGGGAGTTTCCGGCTTCCTGGCAGGCCTGACTTATGGGACCAGGGGCTCTCATCTGAAAGCAGGTGCTCCTGGCTGGACTGGGCCCAGCCCTGGTGGTGGTCAGGACACAGGTGAGTGACTTCACACCTGTCAAGATAGCATGCCTACTCAGCTCCCATTTAAGGGGCAGGGGCAGGGGCAGAGCCTGCTGGTGCTCAGCCAAGATTGCTGGGAAAGAGCAAGATGGGTTCAGAGGTGGAGCTCTGCTCCTGGTCCTAAAAATCCCCACCCCCACCCCACTGGCCTCCCTGGGCATCACAGGACTACTGGTAAGCTCAGCAGGCCATCTGCCTGCAATAGGGAGATACTCCTCAAGGCCCCCATACCTAGCCAATGGCCTTGCCCATCATTTCCCTTGGCTGGAAGTGACCTCTATCCCCTGGCCAAGTCCTGGTCCTTCCAGAAAGTACCTACCAACAAGCATCTCCCCTGAAAAGTCTTCTAGAAACTTCCACCCAGGGGTCCCAAGCTGCTCCTGGGTGTCATCTGCACCCTAGCAAAGTAGCAGTTCCAGGCCCACCCCAAACCCACACCTCAGGGCTGCCAGCCCAGGGACCTCGCATGTCCCCTTGTGATCACTTCCCATGGCCTGTAACACTCTGTGGGGGCTTGCCAGTGGCCAGACACTCCACCCAACACCTCAGAGCTGCCAGCCTGGCAGCAGGTAGGATGCTGTGTGGCCCCACTCAGGCTTGGCTCATATGTGAAGGCAGCACAGGGCAGGCGCTTGAATTGGCAAAGGTCCAGCGTGACTTGTGTCCTGCTCAGAGTTGTGGGACCCTGCACTGCTCTCAGGCCTCTGAAAGGTGGGCCATAGTGGACAGTCCCCTCAGGCCCTCCTCCTTCCTGAGGTGACCACAGACCTAGGCACTGCCACTATGCACACCCAGGGGCACATCTGGGCAGGGATGGCACAGAAGATGCCATGAAGCAAGCTCTGTGCCTGTATCTCAGACCCACACATCCCCAGGCCACCACTCCCAGCCACCCTGACAGATGCTGCCTAGGAAACTGCCCTGCAGGCAGGAGCCCCAGGCCACCTAGGGACAAGCCCCACCCACCCACCTGACAACTGGTCCTTCCCCTCTGGAGCCCCAGGGCACCAAGGGACAAGCCCCATCCACCCACCTGACAACCTGTCCTTCTCCTCTGGAGCCCCAGGGCACCAAGGGACAAGCCCCACCCACCCACCCACCAACCTGTCCTTCCCCCTTTAGAGCCCCAGGGCACCTAGGGACAAGCCCCACCTACCCATCTGCCAACCTGTCATTCCCCTTCCAGAGCCCCAGGCTACCTAGAGACAAGCCCCACCCACCCACTCCAGTCCAGTCCTCTGCGCCTACATCCTAGCTGCCCCTGCTCCAGTGACCACCATCTACCTGGCCATCTGGAGTCGAGGGCCCCAAACAAACCTGTTTCGTTGTCACAAAGGAGGCAATAAGGGAGTTCATAAAGGGGTGGGAAGTGACACAGCTGAGGGGGGACTAACAGCTTCCTCATGGGGCCCCACCTGCTGGACACCAGGCCTTGGCCCAGAGCTCAAGGTAAAGGGTGGAGGCTGACTGTCTAGCCAGGGCTGACGTAGCCCTCACTGGGGTGACCCAATGGGTATGGTGGGGAGGTGGAGGCACAAAGGACCCCCAGCAAGGAGGCAGCTGGGCTGGGATTTCAGCACAAGTGATCTGCAGCCAGCCTCTCACCCAAAGGCTTTGCCTGGTTTGAGCATAGCGGCACTGCATAAAGGCCTGGTGACCTGCTTCCACAAAGATGGAGGCCACGCCCACCCACAAAGACCTTCTGCTCTGGGACACATGGTGTGGCTGGGAGGCAGGAGTCATCTACTGGAACAGTGTCTCATCTGGGTGTCTATGAGGGAAGAGGACCTCTTCAGAGAAGGCGCCTATCAGCCTCCAGTGCCACCATGGGCCAAGAGCAACCACGGCTCTCACCCAGACGGAGGAGCAGTTCAGCTTACCAGAACAGGGACGTGTGGGCCTGCTGGGGAGCACTGGCTGGGTTTACCCAAGAACACATGGGCGAACTGTCTGTCATGTACAAAGATGTCACAACGCTTGCATGGGCAGGAGGCAGAGTCTAGGGAGGCCATGCTGGGCCTGAATGAATGGGAGTGAGGGCTTCCTGTTCCTGGAAGAGCCCATCCTGGGCCACCTGACCTCGCCCCACTTCACAAGGGGGAAAAGGCAGAGCAGCAGCTCAGGGCCAGTTCCTGCAATGGCTCAGACCTGCCTCTCTCTAAATCGAGGCCAGCAGCCCCTCACTCAGGACTCTCACTCTCGGCTGAGTTCCACAGCAGCGGCAATGGCCACTGGACCTCGGACCACACAGTCACGGGGTTATTAGCTGCATCTCAGGCCTGGGATCAGGAGGTCTGTGGGCAGCTCCCCTTCTTCAGAGCAGGGCAGCACTTCAGCTCCCCTCAGCCCTGGCCTTGCTCAAGCCTGGCCTCTGCCCTGCTCTGCTCAGTGTTACAAGGCTCTTTGCTCCACTGCCATGTTCCCAGAGGCACCCCAACCAGGTGGCCAGCTCTCCCCCGTGCCCAGGGCGGTGGTTCTTGCTCCTTCCGTGGGTAAGCTGGCCCACAACCAGCCATCCTGCTCCGTGGACAGTCTAGCACGCCAGGCTCCTCGTACTGTTGCGGCCAGTCCTCCGCCTCAGCTTCTGCTCCTCTGGTGCCACGGCCGTGTCTCCTGGGTCTAGAAAGTTCTCCACATGGTGACCACAGATTCAAAAGATGCACCACTCACTCCTGTCTCTGCTTCCTTCCTTCCCTCTGCTCTTGAAGTGGCCCTCTTTTTAAGCTAGTGGGATGGCAAAACGGACCAATCCCCTCTCTAGGGTTCCACACACCTATTGCATGCACCCAGCCCCAGTCCCTAGAGGACATCATGCTTGCTAGTCTTGGGGCAGCATGAAAGAGGAAGGCCCTCTCTGAGATAGACTGCCACCATGGCTGCCACCGTGGGCTCAAGCACAGGCATGATCGTGAAGATGGTGCTGGACCAGGTCACATTTCATTCTGCAGGGCATAGGGCTGCTGTGGGTCGGAACTGACTGCATGGCACTGCACCACACACACGGTCGCCACAGGTCTTATGTGTGTTGTCATGCTGTCCAGTCTCCTGGGTGGGCCATAGGTAACTTATTTGCATAGGTTCAACCCATGTTTTGCATGTTGAGAGTGGCCTCAGTGGACCATCGCATGAAGTACGGAGACTGAGTCACCAGACTGCATCCCAGCATCTCAGCCTCCCAGTACACTCCCTCCTCCACCTGTCCCCATGGACGCCGGCGGCATGTGCCCAGGCACCCGAGAGCTGGTGCTGCGGTATCTGTAAGCACATTTGGTTCCCTCGTGGGAGCAAGGCCAAGATGAACCCCCATACCTGGCACAGCAAAGCTGCTGGGTGCCAAGTGTGCTGCGGAAGACGACCGTCCAGGTGGCCACAGGTGCCAATGGACATTGCCAGTTTACTGAGGGGGTGCTCCCCCAGGCAAAAATGGGAAAGCAGGCGCGTTCTGAGTCACAAGGGTTCGGAGCCCAGAATGACTGTCTAGCAGGGTGTGTGAGCCCCAATAATCTGAAGCTGAGGCTTCGCGGAGAAAACCTGGGAATGAGAAATCAGGTGAGAGGTGCCCAGGGAGCGGCTGTGGACGCCCGTGGGAACCCCTGAATTTCTCCCAGGTCCCCAACATGCCCCCTACTTACGCCTTTCTGCACGGAGCCCTTTCTTGCCGATGCCCCTCCCCCACCCCGAACCAAATGCTCCCGGTTCTCAATGTCTCCGCTCAAATCCCACGCCTACAAAAGGCACCGCGCCTGGGCGCCTGCACCCCGCTCAGCCCTGACATCGTTCTCCCACCACCAAGATGCCCTCTTCAAGTGGGTTTTGAATGACACCCCACCCCCACCCCGCTCCGGTGGCTTCGGACAAGCGCGTGGCAGGGCTGCCACCTGAGACCCTCTGGCAAGGGTGTGGACAGTGACGGGGGCCAAGCAGGGGAGAGTGGGGGGGGGGGCTCATCAACATGGGCGGCGTGCCGCCTGGAGCTTGGGGCTGGGTCGCGCCCGCGGAGCCGCGGCGCTAATCAGGGACACAGAAGCTGTGCGGGGTCCCCAGGTGGCTCCCGCCTTTGTGTCCGGCCTCGCCCCACCCTCACGGGAGCCCCGGGAGGGCAGGCCCTCCCGCTGTTTTCAGCCCTGCGCTCCTGGGCGC